GGAGGATGTAACGTAATGGTAGAGAATCTGGTTGTCAGTCCTCCAGACGAACACGTTATTCCTGTGACACTTGATCACATCAGTTGACGGGAAGACTTTGCCTAACAGTAAGTGGTCAGGTCACATTGACAAGATGCTAGACACCACTGCAGAACTTAAAACTGATCCTTCATTACCCAACTATCAGTTTGACAACATCTTACTTTTCTTAGTGACAATGTCATAAAGGATGTGTCTATTGATCAAGCGTACAGGTATTGGATCACAAAGGCCATACAGACAAGAAAACTTCTTGGACAGCTTTTCCAGGACTGTCACTGGAAAATAGGGACACTAGGATGGTCTGGAATTCGGTGCATTAAGTGAAATTATAATCCAGACACTCTTGTCACTCAGATGACAGTGAGGAAAGGAGAGCTCTGAAAGATCGTTGACTTGAGGGGCAGAGATGATGACATTCTGGGAGATCTTTCTGTACGTCTGAGGAAGAGACTTCTCATCAATCTCAGTGCTTCATTCCTGTTGTATCAGAGAGATTGGTCTGAAAGAGTATATGAACCTCCTATAACATGCAGACTTACTACAAAGGAAATACAGCAGTTTACTGACAACCCCATGCAAGTTCCACAATGGCTCTGTCATGCTTAGTCTATGGAGAGGTTTGTGAAAACAAGTCGCAGAAGCAGCAAGCAGGGTGAACACACATGAGAAACATGAGGACTACATCACATCGATGTACAAGAATGAAGCAAAGCAAGGCTTGATTAATTTTCTTGTTTAAACTTCTTATTAACTGATGTCATTACTTTCTAATGTTTTATGATTACAATGTAATGTTGTATGCATAGTAGGATAAGTTTTATGCAGAGAAACTAATTTTTTTATAGCATTGCCTGACATTTTCAAAAGGTAAAATTAAAATGATTGTGTTTTCCAAATGCAGTGTATGTGTGTCCTTTTTAGTCAAATGTAGATTTATGAAGCTAAAGGTTGTCTAATCATGAAAATAATAGGAGATTATTTGTAAATATATCTTAAGGAAGCTCACTGAAGAAATTTGCAAAAAATATGTTTCACCCATTAAAACGACACACTCTAGTGCTGTGGTCCCAAATGTGGGGCACACGCCCCACACGGGGGCAAATTGATTTTTGAGCGGGGCAATTTGAGAATGAGTTATTCACAGTTAACGGCCTTTTAGGCTTCCTCCACATGAATAGGAGTTCTCTTTTTGAATAATAAGAATTATATGTCATGGGGGTGGACATCAGGATTTTAGAGGTGCTTAGGTAGGGCAAGAGGGACGTGGGTGGCGCTGTGGGTTAAACCACAGAGCCTAGGACTTGCTGATCAGGAGGTCGGCGGTTCAAATCCCCATGACGGGGTGAGCTCCTGTTGCTCAGTCCCTGCTCCTGCCAACCTAGCAGTTCGAAAGCACATCAAAGTGCAAGTAGATAAATAGGTAAGGTAAACGGCGGGAAGGTAAACGGCGTTTCCGTGCGCTTCTCTGGTTCGCCAGAAGCGGCTTAGTCATGCTGGCCACGTGACCCGGAAGCTGTCTGTGGACAAACGCCGGCTCCCTCGGCCAGTAAAGTGAGATGAGCGCCGCAACCCCAGAGTCGGTCACGACTGGACCTAATGGTCAGTGGTCCTTTTACCTTTTAGGTAGGGCAAGGCCAAAAAAAGGTTGGGAACCGCTGCTCTCGTGTGTCCTGACAGAGATGTTCAGCACAGTTTGAAAAATGAGTCTAGACATAATTTTCTAGAACAATTGGGCATGCCAAGGAGCTGAATGTTGGAGGATTCAGGACAGACAATAATGAGACTATCTATCGATCTATCTCTATCTATCTATCTATCTATCTATCTATCTATCTATCTATCATCTATCTATCATCTATCATCTCTCTCTCTCTCTCTCTCTCTCTCATCTATATCTATCTATCATCTATCTATCTATCTATCTATCTATCTATCTATCTATCTATCTATCTCTATCTCTATCTCTATCTCTATCTCTATCTCTATCTCTATCTCTATCTCTATCTCTATCTCTATCTCTATCTACATCTACATCTACATCTACATCTACATCTATATCTATATCTATCTATCTATCATCTATCTATCTATCTATCTATCTATCTATCTATCTATATCTATCTATCTATCATTTATCTCTATCTATCTATCTATCTATCTATCTATCATCTATCTATCATCTATCTATCTATCTATCTATCTATCATCTATCTATCTATCTATCTATCTATCTATCTATCTATCTATCATCTATCTATCTATCTATCTATCTATCTATCTATCTATCATCTATCTATCTATCATCTATCTATCTATCTATCTATCTAATCTATCTATCATCTATCTAATCTATCTATCTATCTATCATCTATCTATCTATCTATCATCTATCTATCTATCTATCTATCTATCTATCTATCTATCATCATCATCTATCTATATCTATCTATCTATCTATCTATCTATCTATCTATCTATCTATCTATCTAGTTAGAGAAATCAATAAGATTTCTGGATAATTGACAAATGTACTTTGTTCTGATCAACATTTCAAGCGTGTATGTAACAAAGGATGGTGGGTGAGGGTGCTGTTTGCTTGCTTCATATGTTTGGTGGTTAGAGTGATGGACCAGAACATGAGAGAACAGGGTTCAAATCTTCACTCAACCATGAATTTCATTGGGTGATCTTGGGCAAGCCACTGCCTCTCAGCCTAGACTGCTGCATCAACTGATTTTAAAAGGGTTAACATATTTTCAAAGCCTGTTGAAAGCTTCTTACAATTTGTGTAATTTTCTAGTATATTTGAGGACTCATGCACCCATTGTGTGCTGACTGCTGTATAGATATTTTACACTTTGTGCAATGTCTAGAGCACTCATGACACAGTTGCATGGGGTGTCTTTCCTGATATGGATCTTAGAAATAAAGGAAGCCACTGACATGTGTTTCAAACAATTATCCCACAGTCCGATTAGCTTAAAAATACAGTATAACTGCAATTTAATGAAGTGTATTTGAGAGAAAAATGTTATTTTATTTGTGAAAGTGTGGCAAGAGTCAATGAGAACCATGGCCAACTCATTCTAGTTTTCTTGTCATCCTCTTCTTGTTGGAGTTCTGCAAGGACAACACTGAGACTGAGGATGCTCACAGGGTGTGTGAACACCCCCTGGACTTGTTGTAAGTAGGACAATAGGCAGATGGAGGCTGGCTGAGGACAAACTGAGGTTGTTGAAGCAGTGGGCCATTTGACCTTATGCAGTAGCTTCCACTGGGCTTAGAGGAGAGTGGGGGCTATAATTCTTTCCCCCCTGGACTCATGGAGGAGTTCAGGGGGCAAAGCAAGTTTTTTCCCCTTTAGTGAACAACAGACTCCAAGCATAGTTGGAACTGAACCAAGGGCCTTTGTAGCCTCTTCCTTCCAGTTCACCTCACCTAAATGTCACCCACAGTTGGAGAACAAGAGTGTTAAAAAGACAAGACTTTGGTATGAATGGGCACCTCTCAGTGGTTAGTGAGCTCTGATCCACAAGTATTATATTTACCTGTATGGATATTCTATCTAAAACTATTTGCTGATGAAGATTCATCTTCGAAACAGTTGATTCAATCTGGATATACTGACTTGGACATCATCCATTGAAAGGCGTTGTGGTGTTCCCCGCCAGCAATTCATTTCATTGACTACTTCTTGGTTATGGACTGATATATATATTACAGTGGTACCTCGGGTTAAGAACTTAATTTGTTCTGGAGGTCTGTTCTTAACCTGAAACTGTTCTTAACCTGAAGCACCACTTTAGCTAATGGGGCCTCCTGTTGCTGCTGCGCCGCCGGCGTGCGATTTCTGTTCTCATCCTGAAGCAAAGTTCTTAACCCAAGGTAATATTTCTGGGTTAGCGGAGTCTGTAACCTGAAGCGTATGTAACCTGAAGCGTATGTAACCTGAAGCGTATGTAACCCAAGGTACCACTGTATTTTGAAGTTGATGGACTGTAAATTTTGGATGACATACTACTACTAGTAATAATACATTTGCTATATCCATTAGCCACGTGTTGCGGCTGTATTTGAGCAGATTATTCTGTATTGCAACACAGGGTTTGTTTTTGCAGTGTTGGTTCCCTATAGGCCAAGGATAGCCAATGTAGTGCTCTTCAGGTGTTGGGGACCACAACCCCCAACAGTGCCAACTGGCATGGCCAATAGTTAGGAACGATGAGAGATGTAGTCCAAGGCATATGGAGGCCACCACATTGCGGACCCCTGGCATTAGTCCTGGTGCTGTAGGATCTATTTGGTGGGCTCCCACCTGCCAGTCTCAGGTTTATTGGGACCCTGATCCATCTCAGAGTCAGAAACTCAGTTCAGTTCCTTAGACAAAGCTAAGGTTCGACAGTTATATCCTTTAGCTTGGTGGTCTGGTCACTGATGGATTCTGGGATCATGACAAATTCCATTAATCTACTCATCTCTGGAATAAACACTTTAACTGCTGTTACCCAGGGTAGAGTGTCATGAGAACATGAGAAGAGCCTGCTGTCCCATGTAGACCAATATTCTGATCTTACAGTGCCCAACTAGATATCTATGGCAACCCTGCAAGCAGGACCTGTGGCTCCATGCAACTGGCATTTAAAAACATTACTGCTTCCTACTGTCAATGAAGCCCATGGTTAAAGGGTAGGAATCAATGCACCATGAGTACATCTTGGGCATAAACATATAGATAGAGGAGCAGAAAAACTCAACCACACAGATATCTTGGTTTGCAAGAAACTTTTAATGAGTTTTCAATAACGAAGTTATTCACATTTAGCCAATTATGGTTTGCAAGAAGGAAAGGGAATATGCAAGAAGCGGTGATAATAATTGAGTATTTCAACTATCCTTGAAGGCATCTACTTCAGCTTCTGGGGGAAGACTTTCTGTTGACTTTGTTGTCCACCACAACATCCGCCGCTGCTGCTGCCACCACAACATCCGCCGCCGCTGCTACCGCCACAGCATCCACCACCTCTGCTGCCACCGCTACTGCCACCACAACATCCACCGCTGCTCTGACTCTGCTGAGAGGAAACCACACTGCGGCTGCCACCACAACATCCCCCGCCACTGCGGCTGCCACCGCAGCACCCACAGCCTCTACCACCACAACAGCAGCAGCTTCCTCTTTGTTGTTGTTGGCTCATCTTTTCTGTGGATTGGATAACCCTTGGGGAAGAGAGAAAGAGATAGAGATTGACGTCATTTGGGGGCTCAAAGACAGCAGAACCTTTGAAGTCAAAGGGATTTGGCGGCCCTCCAGAAGATGCTGGGTTATGATTAAACATGCTCCCTGACCATTTGCCGGGGTCACTTGGGCTGATGGGAACTGAATTCCAGGAATGACTGGAGGAAAAAGGTCTGTGAGGAATTCAGATTTATGTTATGCTATGGGATTTCCTACAAACAACACAAACATTTATAGGTATTCTCTGCCACCACCAACCTAAATATCAGGACCTGAGCTGTAGCTCAGTGCATCTGCTTGACATGCCAAAGGTCCCCATTTCAATCTCTGGCATCTCCTGGTAGAACAGTGAGAGATGCTTGCACAAAACCCCAGAGAGTTACTGCCAATCAGTGTAGGCAATACTGAGCTATATTGTCCAATTGTCTGATACCATGGAAGGAAGCATCTTGTATTTCCAGCTTCCTATGTTCTGATGTTTCTATGTTTTTATTCCTGCATTGGAGGAGATTGGACAAGATGACCCTTGGTGTACCTTCCAACTCTACAATTCTATGATGTGCATATCCTAAAAATTCAAATAAATTACACAAAGGTTCCTCCATATACAGTGGTACCTCTACTTATAGATGCAATCCATTCCGGGGTGCCGTTCGCACCCTGAAAAGTCCGTAAGTGGAGCACTGCTTCTCTCTCTGTGTGTGTGACGTGATAGAGCGCTCCTGCGCATGCACGAAGCACACAGATTGCTCCTGCGCATGCGCAATGTGGCAAACTCGGAAGCAAACACTTCTGGGTTTGCCGCGTTCTTAACCTGAAAAAATACAATGTGAAGCAAACGCAACTCGAGGTATGACTTATGTCTATGCAAATATATAATCTGATCAAAGCACTGAATAGCTCTATGTCCCTTGAGAAGGACTATCTGTTGGCAGGACCTCACATGCTTTGCAAGCAGAAGGTTTTACGTTTGAAGTCTCCAGTTGAAAGGAGAGACCAGTCTTTCCCCCAGCTTGGGGAATAGTTTGGACTACAGCTCCCATCAATCCCATTAGTCAGCCTGGCCAATGATCAGGAATGGTGGGTCTTGTAGTTCAAAACATCGGTAGCCCACCGGTTTGTGGAAACTTGGGATAAACCTTTGCCTGACACCTTGGAATGCCGCTGCTAGTAGTCAAGATGGACCAATGGTCTGATCAGCTACAGCTACCTGGGCTGCTAGAAAAAGTGTTCCATGATGGAACAAATGCACCGCATGCAGTGGAGACCTGCTGGATCAGGCCAAGGACCCATCTGGTCCAGCATCCTGTTCTCATGGTGGCCAATCAAATTCAAGCAGGAAGACCACAGGCAGGGCATGGAGTTAAACCCTCACTCACTCACTGATTTGAACATAAGAAAAGTTCTACTATTCACATAGTGGCCATCCTGATGCCCATGGGAGGCTTGCAGTCAAATGTTGAGTACAAGAGTGCTCTCCCCACCTGTGATTTGCAGCAAGTGATATTCAGAAGTATACTGCCTCAAAGAGAGGCAGAATTGTGGCTAGTAGGCACTGATAGCCTTTTCCTCCATGAGTTTATCTAATCCCCTTTTAAAGTCATCCAAGTTGGTGACCACCACAACTTCTTGTGCTTTTATCCTGTATTTTTATGTTGTGAGATCTTCGGATGAAAGGCGGTATATAAATAACAATAATAATAATAAGGTAAAGGTAAAGGGACCCTTGACCGTTAGGTCCAGTCTTGACCGACTCTGGGGTTGCAGCGCTCATCTCGCTTTATTGGCCGAGGGAGCCAGTGTACAGCTTCCAGGTCATGTGGCCAGCATGACTAAGCCGCTTCTGGCGAACCAGAGCAGCGCACGGAAGCGCTGTTTACCTTCCCGCCGGAGCAGTACCTATTTATCTACTTGCACTTTGATGTGCTTTCGAACTGCTAGGTTGGCTGGAGCAGGGACCGAGCAACGGGAGCTCACCCCATTGCGTGGATTCGAAACGCCGACCTTCTGAGCGGCAAGTCCTAGGCTCTGTGGTTTAACCCACAGCGCCACCCGCGTCCCTAATAATAATAAAAAATAATATCTAATTCCATAGTTTAACTATGCACCATGTGAAGAAGGACTTCCTTTAGCCACTGAAAAATCCACAGCATCTCCAGGGTTTTGAACTTCTAAGAACACTTCTCCCTGCATCTGATAGACCCATTAATAGCTAGGAGGTCCTCCTACTCACCTATTGATCACCGAGTCAAGCGTTGGTCAAGTCAGGTGTTGCTGAGCGAATGAGAAGAGCTTGAGATAAAGGACCTTTTATAGCATCTCCCAATGCCCTCTATCAGAAATGGTGATGAGTTCTGAGAAGGCCCATTGGCTCTCGCAGCATCCAATGCCTGGCCTTAATGACACAACAATTTGCATTAATTGTGCTGACTGACGAGAGATGGTTATCTCCAGTTACTGAATAACGTGTGGGTTTCTCTTGGTGAATTCTTCACGCCACTCTATAACAATGTAATTGACAGCTTAATGGGTGGCTTGTACATGTCCCGAAGCCTTTCACATCTGTTCCTCTGAAATCATAAATTCCAGCATTTTGGGATGGGATGCAAATGACAAATTACCCTTGCAATATGGTACGGGGGAAATATATTTGAACTTTGGGGAAGATATATCTTCAGGGACCTAGGACAGAGCTTGGAAACAAGATTCCAATAAGAACATAAGGAGACTGCTGGCTCAAGTCAATGGGCCACCTAGCCCAATTCTTATTCTTATAGTGGCCTCCCAGGTGCCTCAATGGGAAAACTGCAAGCAGGACCTGAACACAAGCACAGTTTCCCCTTCTGTGCTTTCCAGCAACTGGTATCCAAAAGCATTACAGTGGTACCTCAGTTTTTGAATGTCTCGGAAGTCGAATGTTTCGGTTTTCGAGAGCTGGAAACCCAGAAGTAACTGCTTCAGTTTTTGAATGCTTTTCAGAAGTCAAACGTACCACGCGGCTTTTGTATTGAGTTTTCTGTAAGTAAATGCTTCCGGAAAGTAAATGCTTCGGTTTTTGAACATTTCGGAAGCCGAATGTTTTTCCAGAATGGATTATGTTCCAAAACCAAGGTACCACTGTACTGCTTTCAACAATGGAGGCAGAGCATAGCCACCTTAGCTGGTAGCTTGTTGTTGTTGTTTAGTTGTTTAGTCGTGTCCAACTCTTCGTGACCCCATGGACCAGAGCACTCCTGTCTCCCACTGCCTCCTCCTTATATTCTTTATCACCCTTTTCCCTTATCCTCTTCATTATACCTGCCAATTCAGCATATTCAGCATTTTAAACTGCAACTGTTCCTTGCCGGGTACCGTACTCGTTCTCCACCTTTTTGCCAATAAGATTCTAGCCGCAATGGTGAAATATAATAATAAATTCTTTTGTTTTGGGGGGACGTCTGTTGTTTCCCTTCCCAAAAGATGTGCCAATTGAAATCCATTTGTTTGGGCTTCCTAGTTCCTTGAAAATGTATATTTTGGGCAATTAACATATGTTTTAAAGGTCAGAGGTGAACGGAACACGAAAGTAGAACCTGATATTGGTAGGTAAGAACAGGGGAGCTCTCTTGAAGTGCTTGGGTAACTCTTGTTCTTAGGATTGAGGCATACTGGGTTTAAATTACAGCATTTAAAGGTACTGTTTTGTCTGGAAGTGAGAAAGGGAAAAGCATATTCATTTGTTTGGTGATTGGGACAGGCAGGGTACCTAAGGAGGAAGCAAAATAATGCCAAATTCTAGTTCAGCCTGATTATGGAAAATGTCAAGCAATGAAAAATACATTTTGGGGTTTATGTAGAGCAGTGGGGAGGAGATGTAATGTTTCTTCCTCTGGCCCCCTCCTGGACCTATGTTTAATTAAACTAAACCAATGTTTAATTTAATACAAATAAGATAAACATTAGCCTCACCACTGAATAAATCTAGGTGGTGTGGGCCGATTCCTGAATTTCCTCATGGCAAGGCAAGTTGACTGGGGGGCCCTGGATTGGTGCCATGAGTCTGATGGAGTTCTGTGGGAACAGTCCTAGTTTCTACACACCATGAAAGGGGAAAAGGGAAGGGTCAAAAGGCAGGAACTGGGGTATGAACAGGGCCGGATTAAGGTTTGATGAGGCCCTAAGCTACTGAAGGTAATGGGGCCCTTTATATGTCCAACAGAGTTCCGGAACGGATTAAGTTTGAGAACCAAAGTACCACTGTATGTAGAAATGCGCAAACCAGTGATATTTTAGGGAGCAGGCTAGCAGGTGGGGCCCATGACTTACATCACAGGAGCCTACACAACATAAAACACTGTTGCTGTATGTAGGTTTTATTTGTTTTTTATCTTATATTTTGGACATGTACATCCAGGTTTTTCCCCCTTTATTTTTTGGGGGGGCCCCCAAGAGAGTGGGGTCCTAAGCTAGAGCTTGTTTAGATTATACAGTGGTACCTCGGGTTAAGACCTTAATTCGTTCCGGAGGTCCGTTCTTAACCTGAAACTGTTCTTAACCTGAAGCACCACTTTAGCTAATGGGGCCTCCTGCTGCACGATTTCTGTTCTCATCCTGAAGCAAAGTACTTAACCCAAGGTACTATTTCTGGGTTAGCGGAGTCTGTAACCTGAAGCGTCTGTAACCTGAAGCGTCTGTAACTTGAAGTGTATGTAACCCGAGGTACCACTGTACATAAATCTGGCACTGAGTATGAGTGGTGGAGGAAGGGGACATCTTTAGCTATGCTTCAAGCAGACCATCTATAGTAGTCATCAAGACGCAAGCAGGATTCAAGCAAAACAGCAACTCTCTCCTCCTGTAGTTTTCAGCCACTGGTATTCAGAAACTTTACGTCCAAGGCAGAGCTAATAACCATGGATAGCCTAATCCTCCATGAATTTATCCAAACCTCTTTCTAAACCATCCAAGTAGGTGTTCAACACTGCTAGCTTTGGGAATGAGTTTATCTCTACACATTTTCTTTAATTTGTCCTGAATCTTCCAGTGTTCAGCTTCGTTGGATGTCTGTGAGTTCTAGTGTTTTGAGAGAGGGAGAAGACCTTTTCTCTATCCACTTTCTTTATGCCCTGCATTTATTTATTTAAAATTTCTATTATTTATTTTCTTTAAACAAAGAACTCCCAAGCTGCAACTTTTCTTCCTAGGAGACCCCAAGATCTCATTCCTTGTCAGTCCCTGCCACACATTACCTGTTGAAGAGAGGAGTACTTAATTCAACCACTAGATCCAGAGTTAAAGATTGCCTAACTGCATGTCAGGGACTGGGCAGAGGAGAAATGGCGAAGACTGCCTCTCCTTCCAGAGAAGAGGAGACCACCTCCCCAGCCTGACCCTTCCAGAGAAGAGGAAGACAGTTTAGATTTACAACAGGGGTTTGATGGAGGTCACTGCTCAGAGGCAGATGAGGAGAAAAGTTGGGAAGTACTGGGAGAGGAGGAGGGGGAAGGGGAACCACCAGGAGGGCAACAACTGATGTACACGGTGTCTTTATAAAGCATTCCAGACCCCCCTCTCCCAGAACCTGGTGTGTCTCGAAAGTAGGAGAGCAAAGAGCTCAAAGACAGAGGGCATGTAGCAGCACCTGTAGAAGTGACGATTGAGGAAGTGAGAGAGACGAGGGATGGAGATTCCCTCCATTATCCAAGAGGCTGGGTTCTATAGCCTCTGTAAATACTGAATAAAAATAGGACGGTAAGAAACATTCCTTTGTCTTTGTATGTTCCTGGGCAACCAGCTGGGAGTTGCTGGCACTGCACCCACTGCATCACTGAGCACCCAAAGTCTGAATGCAGCTGGGGAAGAGCTCCCCCACCACTACCTGTGGTCTACCTGTCCCCTTTCCTGCACATGTAGATTTATTTGGTATATCACGAGTTTTTCCACCCACTACTGTACAGTCATCAAATGAACAATGCTAGTTTGCCAATGAACCCTATATGTTTCTCCCTGGATTCTGGGCTGGGCTGGTGAAAGAGCCTCCAGGGTAAGGTAGCTCAGATTGCAATCTGGGGAAAATAAAGAGACTTCTTTATGATGGAGGCTTTGGAGAGCATAGGCGGTATCGGGGATCTGAATGTAAAACATATCAGAGGGATCCTTCTGGATCAGACCAAAGGTCAGTCTAGAATCTTGCTCTTACTGTGGCCGGTCAGATTACTCCAGGAGCCCCTAGGCAGGACATGAAGGAAAGAGTCCTCCCTTACCTTTTACTCATAAGGACATTGGGAGAGCTATTATGGATTAGGCCAATGGCCCATCTAGTCCAGCATCAAGTCCTCTCATTTCCGAACCAGTTGCTGATAGGAAGTCCAGAACAAGTTGCAGGTTTAACAGCACTTTCCCTGACTTGCAATCTCTAGGAAGTGGAATACAGACATATGCTGACCTCTTACTCTGGAGGGAATATAACCATCAGGACTAGAAGCCATTGATAGCCTTAAACTATAGGAATCTAGTTTATCTATTGTCAAGAGCCAGGCTGCCATCTTGTTAACACAGCATGCAAGTTGTAATTAGCTTGAAGATTTATTGCAATACAAACACTCAGCCTCAGATGCCCATCCGCATGCCCGTGACTTATGAATCAGTTGACCCTTCTGGGGAGTGATTTCAGGTATGGCAGAATATCCAGAACCTATGCCCTTTCTGTTTCTGGCTTTGTTTTCTATCTAAGACCTTTCTCATACGTCTGCTCCTTGGATAAATTAACTTCCCTTCCAGTGTCAAACTGCTTTCCCTCCCGCCTTCTGATATTGCCTGTATCATTTGAAAGAGTTGGTTGCTGTCTAGCACACTCTCTGCATTCCTGTCATTATCACAGTGAGGGGGAGTTGATAAACTACTGTTCGCAGCTGTCTGGGAAGAACGCGAGCCTCTCTCTTGTCAGCTGCTTTCTGACTCCTCTGGAGAGCTTATACCTTGGTCAGAAGTGTTCATGACATCCATATCATAAAATTTATACACTGCTGGATTGTAAAAAAGAAAACACCCTGAAAGCAGTTTACAAAAAAAATTAAAAAATTAAATTATCAGTGAGAAGAATTAATAACAATAATTTAAGACTTCTGGAGAGTTAAAATAATAACTAAAAACCGATTAAAACTCTCATCAACCTTCTAAACATCTGGATAAACTTGTTTAAACATTTATATTTTTATTTTTTACATTTGCTGAAGACTACAGGGAAGGCACCTAGTGGCATAACATGGGGACTGGGAGGGGCGTATCCCCAGGTGCA